ACTATGTCCTTGTCTAGTCTTTAAGAATTGCCTCTTCTCTGTCCCTGTTCCAGGATTCCTGATTCTTATCCCTTCGCAGAACCCCATGCTCACATTCCTTGGTAATGCGATGAACTCCTGTGGATCTGGAGGCCCATCCCCCAGGGCCAGCTTGGTCATTATTCGCAGGAGGCTGTTTACTGATGGCCTCCCCATTCCTCCACCCCCAAACAGGGACCAGGGAATCTTTTCTGGGTCTATGTCCTGATTCAGGTAGGATGTCTATGAGGCAATGCTCCCTGCCTGTCAGCTTGGGTGACAACAGGGATCACTGGCCAAATGGGGATCCCTGCCCTTTGCCCAGTACCCTAAGCTCTCAGCTCTAAGGACCCTTTATATTAAGCATTAGCCCAGGAGTCCTGCTTGGCAGGAAAGCTGTGGCAGGTGGGAGGAGAAAGGAAGGCAGTGAGGCAGAAACAGCTGCCAGCCGGAGTGGAGGAAGAGCAGGGCCCCAGTGGGTATGGGCAGAAGGCAAGGCGGTGGCTCTAGCAGCCCCCCACCCTCTCCCCATGTGTGGGTGTCAGACCCAACCTCCTTTCCCAGCCCTCCCCTTCCAATGCTGCTGTTCAGGAAGCAGGCTCTGCTCATGGGCCTAATCACTGGGCTGAAATAGACCTCAGAGGTCATCTGGCCCAACTCCCCTTGTAATGTGATGCTAGAGTCAGCTCTAAAGCACTTGGACCCAAGGTTCTACTTATATCAGGCCAGATACTTTCTGGGAGCAGTCTGTTTCTTCTTTTTTTTTTTTTAAAGAATTTTTTTTTTTTAATATTTATTTTTTAGTTTTCGGCGGACATAACATCTTTGTATGTGGTGCTGAGGATCGAACCCGGGCCGCACGCATGCCAGGCGAGCGCGCTACCGCTTGAGCCACATCCCCAGCCCCAGTCTGTTTCTTCTTTGGAAGGAAAAAAATCTGTGAAATGAGTGACTGATGTGCCAGGCCTAGATACTGTACAGACTTCTCATTAATCACGACATCACAGAGCTTTCCTGAAGAACTAGCTCCATTTTACAAATGAGAAAAGTGAGGCTGAGAGAGTAGAAGTCCCTAGCTCAAGGTCACACAGGTAATAAAGAAGCTAGGTTCAAACCTAGGACTTTGGTTTTTGATTGTTTGTTTTGGGTTTAATTTTTTTTTTTTGGTACCAGGGACTCTCTAGTCCTTTTTTAAATTTTGAGACAGGATCTTTCTGAGTGGCTTAGGGCCTTGCTAAATTGCTGAGACTGGCTTTGAAGTTGCAATCCTCCTGCCTCAGTCTCCCAAGACACTGGGATTAAAAGCATGCACCACCACACCCAGCAGGACTTTCTAACTATAAAGTCCCTCTGGGACCAGCAGGACATGTGTCTTCTTTTGTACTAGGACAACTTTTATAAGGTGTGAAGTCCAAGATCATTTCTCTTGATTCTCCCCTTTTCCAGGTCAAACTGTTTGTAGAACTCTTTCCAGAACTTGAGTTACAGCCCCTTTCTTAACCTGGTCAAAGTGATATCTGGCACAAAACACACAGTCGGCCAGGTAGATTTGGGCCAATTCAGAATAGAACAGAACTATCACATCCTTCCTGGGCAATAATCTGGATCAATGCAGCCCAATGGGCAATAAGAGAACTGAGACTATCCTTCCCTTTGGCCTGCGGACCTCTTAGATGAAGAGCCATGAGAAAAGAAGCCAGGGGTTTGTGCCCACCTTCACCACTCCCCTGAGTCTTAATGTTCTTAATTGAGATCAGGAAAGAGAGGGGAGAGACAAACAGAACTAGGTGGGGGCTTGGCAGGATTGGGAGGGTGGAGAGGAAGGTGGAGAGATGGGTGGAGACTGAGGTGGTTGTCCAGTAACCTTATGCAGAGTTAAGGGAAGGACAGAGCTTGGGGGGTGCACAGGGAGATAAGGTGGAGTTGGACTTGGCCCCAAGAATTGGGAGAGGCCAGGGTGGGGATGGGCATCAGCCTGCCTGGGTTAACATCGCCCTGCTGTGCAAGAGGAAGTCAGTCGCACATTAAGGAAATGTTGCAGCTAGTACTAAATTGGGAGGTGTCACCGGCAGCAGTGAGCACAGGTATGATTTGTGGGGCTCTGTGGGGCCCAAAACAGGGGCAGACATTGCAGAGGGAAAGAACAGGGTTTCTGGGGGCCATCCAGAAAAAGATAGTACTAAGGTGCTCAGAACAATGGCCTCGAGGACATGGAGTCAATTGGCCTGGGAACTAAGGCTCCAGGGTTGGTTTCCAAAAGTAGAAGAACCACCTTATTCTGGCCTCAGGCTGTAGGCTCTGCACCCAAGAGCAGCTCCCAGGGTGGGGCATCATCTTCCAGGGATCCCACAGGAGGGCTTAGAGCCCAGGAGCAAGCTTGTGATTAGCAAAGAAGGATAGCAATGGAGATGGAGTGAAGGGCTGAGGAGAGATGTAGGAAGGAGAGGAACAGGGCTGTCTTTCCCCTTAGTGCCCACAATACAGCTGGATTTGAGAGCCATATGGGTCCAGGCCTTAGTTGAGGGAAAGAGATTTGGAAGAGGGGTGGGAAAGACAAGAAGAGAGCTGTGGAGCTGGCACTGCCCTTCTGCCGGCACAGCAGGCAGCAAGACAGCAGGAGTTGTTCCTTAGCTTGCAGGAGAGAGACACAAGGAGACAAAGGAGAGGAGGGAGGGCTGTGGGGAACTTGATGGGAGGCAATGACAAAAGCATGGGCTTTACACTTGGAACATATGGGTTGGAGTCCTGGCACTCCTGCCTATTGGCTGACTGACCTTAGGGCAAATGGCTTGATCTCGCTACACCTCAGTTTCCTCATCTGTAAAATGGGGGTAGTGATATTACCAACCTCCCTGGGCAGCTCTGATCTCATAAAATATGTTAAAGAGGTTGAAAACCCTAAGCATTAAATCGATGCCAGATACTAGATTCTTATTAAAAGCTACTTCTTCCCACTTAAATCTCACAAAATACCCAGAATGTGGGCAGGGCAAGGATTATTATTCCTGTTTCACAAATGAGGAAATGAAAGCTTAGAGAAGTGAAGTGACTTGCCCAAGGTCATACTGCTAACAAGTTGTACAGGTAATAAGACCTTCTGAATCAGAGATCAGTTGTCTTCTGCATCAAACTGCTTGATAGAAATAATCAATGCAGGGGATTATTATTTCATGCAGGGTTAGATGGGGCTTGGAGCCAACTCTAAGATGGAGAAAACCTCATGGGAAAGTTGTGCCATGGTTCTCATTCATCCTGCTGATTGAGAGAAGAAAAAGAAAACAGTGGGGCTATGGGATTGGAGGGAGGAACACAAAAGATGGACATCCTTTATTCCGTCTGCTAGTGAACCATGTTCCTCTGTTCCCACTGATTGTGTCTGTGGCAGACATTGAGGATATGTGTCTTTATCTCTATATGACAAAATGTGTCCTTCTTCATGTGACAGTACTTCCGCCTGCGTGTCTCTGACACCATGGGGAGATGCGCGTGTGTGTGACATGGTGTCTGCTTCCATGGCACTGTTCGTGGGTGTGACGACCTCTCCATATCTCTGTGTGTCTTTGCCCAGGGTGGTGTTGGTGGTGGTGTGTGGCCGTGTGTGTGTGTCTGTCTGTCTGTACACCTTTAAGAAGTGGAATATCTCATTTGGTAGTGTGAGTGAGGCAGTGAGTCAGCTGAGGCTGAGGGAGGCGGGAGGAGACTGCTAGGTTACGAGAACAGGAAAAGGGAGAAGGAGAAAGTGAAGTCAGGAACAAGGAGCTACCCCTTTCCTCCCCAACCCTCTTCCCCAAGTTCCTATGGAGCCCACCAAGAGCAAGGAAAACCTTGCAGAAGTCCACAGAAGCCAAGCTGGATGGAAAGGGGGGGGGCACTTTCTGCCCCTCCCCAATGCCTTGGAGGGAGATGAGCTAAGCTAGGAGGCAACTGTCTGCTTCTCTCCAGCTCTCTGCCCCTACCTTCAGAATGTGTGAGGCCACCACCCCACCTGGTCTCCTTGCTGCTTGACCCTTTGACCTTGCTGTTCTCTTTCCTTCAAAAGACAAGCCACCTGGCAAGGTATGGAGAACTGGGCAGTAGCATCAGGTCCCAAATATCTATAGCCCCCACCCACCTACTCTCCAGAACTCCTCTGATGAGGGTCAAGAAGTTTCTCAACACTCAGCTCCTCTCTAGACAGGCCTGTTCTGCAGCTGCCGTACCTCTTGAGACTCTCCTCTCTGGATGCCAGTTCCTAGCAGCCAGAAAACCAGTGTTCCCTCCACTGCCACCCTGGGGCGCTGGGAAGGCACTGGGAGTTCTGTAATGCACCAATCTTCAGTGGCCCTTTCCTCCACAAGCCAGTATCACCTGTTCCCTGCTCATTCCTTTGTCAGGGGAGAGAACCCTGCAGGTTCCCTCCTTGGAAGAAGGCAGGCACCCCTGGGCTCCACCTGCCTAGGCTCTAGCCAGCCACCTCAGGTCACATAAGGTCAACAGGGTGGTGTGTCCTACCATCGGGAGTGCACCTCCTCTCACCCATTGGCAAGAGCCAAGGGTAAAGCATTAGGTTGCCAAATATTCTCCTCCCTCTGTTGGCCTTCCCCCCCCTGCACCAGCCAGTCCCGGGACTTTCAATTTCAGCCCATGCAAGGAGTGTGGCACAGCTGGCTGGGGATGAGGGCTGGGGGAACACAACCTCTCCTTCCACCCCTTTGCCAGCCCAAGACCCCAGGACCCCTCCCTCCTTGGGCCGGGGCGGGGCGCCAGAAAGCCCCTGCCCTAAGATATTGGAACCTGGAATTAATAGAAGTTGCCCAGGTGATTACCTTGCCTGAATCCCCGAGCCCCTTCTCTAGGGAGGGGCCCGGGGTGGCACTTGCAGTGCCGCACTGGGAAGGGTGGAAGTGGTGGGGTGGGTGGAAGGAGACCTTTTTTCTCCCGGTTCTAATGTCACTGCTGCCGCTACCCAGGCAGCCGTTGTGGCCGCGGACGCCAATCCCTACCTTGCAGCCTTTCGTGCAGGACCGGATTGAGTACTCTTCTGCCTGTAAGTATTTATGCAGCACGAGGTCGAACTCGTCATATTTTTCCTGAGCATGTCGGTCCAGTCGCTGGTATGCCTCGATACAGTTGCTACATGCCTCCCAGGCCCCGGAGCCCGGGCTGGCCACCACGGCCAGCAGGTCCCCCAGCAGGGTGTCCAGACTGCAGTCCAGGCTGTCGGGGCGGTCCATGCCCAGCAGCAAGTCCCAGACCGTGTAGGTGTCGCAAAAGGAGAGAGTGAAGTTCCGAAAGTGGCCTTTGAGCAAGTTTTTTTTGGCGGAGGGGAACTCGGCCCGGGCACGGGAAGGGGAGTCAGGGGGCCGCAGAGGGGGGGCCGGGGTAGTCGGTTCGAAAAGTCTCTGCAAAGATTCCAATTTGGTGCAAGCTGCGTCCAGCCCCGTGGGCTCTGGGACGCCGCCGCAGACCTGCCCGGGGCCGGCGGCGGGGGCGGCTTTGGTCAGGTTGCTGTATCGGGGCCCGCAGGTGCCCGGGGGCGCGCTGGGCTCGCCGGGCGACGGCGGCGGCGGCAACGGCAGCACCGCACGAGGAGGCACCGGCTGCAGCTCACGGCCAGCCCCCCAGGGTGGCCGCATGGCGCTGCTTAGCTCCCTGGCCCGGGGCCGGGCCCCCGCGCACAGCCACAGATGGTCAGCGAGCAGCACGGTGAAGAAGAGCAGGGACGCCAGGGACAGTCGCCATCGCTGCGCCCGCTCGGAGTCGGCGCAAGGTTTGTCGCTCGGCCTGGGAGCCCAGCAGCAGCAGCAGCAGCAGATAGTCAGCGCGGCGGCGTCTTTCCCGGGCCACATCCAAGCGCCCCTGAACATATTTCAGGGGGGTCCGGGCTGGAGGGAGTAGACAGGAGCGAGGCCGGACGGCCGTCTCGGGCAGGCGGGCTGCGCTCCGCTCCGCGCTCCTCGGCGCCGTCCAGGCTCTACCTCGGGGGCTGCATGGTGAGGCAGGCCGGCCGGCCCGGGGCCCCACTCAGGCCAGAGTCGCGGGGCGCTCTCGTGCCGTCCCAGCGCCCCTCCCGCGCTCCCTCGCTCGCAGCCTCAGCGCCGCCGCCCGGCCCGCTAGGCGCTGCCCGGCGTCCCGGCGGGGGGCGGTGCGGGGCACTGGGGCGGTGGCGGCTGCGGCGGCGGTGCCGCACTCCTCATAGTGTCGGGCCCCTCAGCTGCCCTCGGCTCCGCGCCACTTCACTCTGCGCCGGCGGCTGCCCGGCTCACACTCTGTTCCGGCCGTCTCGGTTCGGCGCAGCTCTGCGCCCCTCAGCGCCGCCGTGCGGGCCCCACCGCCGCGCTCCGCTCTGCTCCCCTCGCCCCGCGCCGCTCCTCTCCCGCCCGTCCGCCCGCTGCCCGCTCAGCGCCGCTCCCTGCCTCGCTCGCGCCCTCCTAGGCCGACCGACCAGTCCTTCGCCCAGCCCTTCGGGCTTCGCTTGTGCTCCTGCCGTTCGCGGGGCCGGTCCCGGGCCGGCTCCGCTCTGGCTCCGCACCCGCTGCTCCCGGAGTTCCGGCTCGGGCGGTCCACCTGGCTCCTGGCAGCGCCACAGGCGCCGGACGCGGACACGGGGCTTTACTTAGTGCGCTTCTCGCTTCCGCCTCTCATTTGCACCGCTGTGGCGGCCGCCCAGCGGCACGGCCCCGTGGCTCCCGCTGGCCATGCCCCCTCAGTCTGTCGCCATCTTCCGCTGTGCGGAGAACACCTTGAGAGCCCGTGTGCGAGTGTGTTTGGGGGGGAGCGGGGCGGAGAAAGAGGCACTGAGAGGAGGAGGGAGCGGGACTGGGGCCCCGACTGCGCCTGCGCCTCAGGACTCCCCCCCCACCCCACCCCAGCCCCCGCCGGCCGCAGCCTGTGCTGTTTGGGGATGTTTCCAGTCCACCCCCCAACTCCATTCACTTCAGCGCCTCCGTTCATCCGCCCGCTCCCCGCGTGCACACGCCACACGCTGAGTCCCAGGCCCTGGTCCCCCTCCCCCATCAACTAGGGCACCCGCCTTCCTCCCCTGGGCCGCCCCACACTCCCCCGAGGGCTAGGAGACTTCTGAGGGTGATTCTTGGAAGCGGGAGGTATCTCCATAACGTCTTGCTGCCTCCCTGGGTCGCCTCCCCTGTCCCCGTGACTAGGAGACGCTGGAGCCGGCTGCGGATCGGACCAGTCCCGTGTCCCTAACTCCGCTGTCGCCCTTACTGTCCTGCCCGAGGCCAAGGCGGCCCGTGGTGCTGAAGGACAGCTCCCAGTTTAGCTTGAGAAGAGGACTGAGCTTGGAGAGCGTCCGGGTGGGGGCAAGACTGTGGGATAAGAAGGGTAGTAGTGGTGGGGTGTCGTTTTTTGCCCTTAGGAAGATTTCCAGCAGCCTCCCCCCAACCCCCGTCCTAGCTTTCTGGCTCCCCCTACAGGCTGCTGAGAATAGCTGAGCAAGAGTTAGGGAAGCTGTGGCGCCGGGATGGAACCATGTGCTTGGGGCCCTCACAGAGTCACATGGCTTTAGAAACTCGGACGTACAAACGTCCTGCCGCGCCACTAACCTTGTTTGGACTCCTCAAAATCTCAGATTGTTCCCGTGGACTACTTCCTTACCTCACTCCCTCCTACTCCTTGTAACTCTCACATTCTAGTTTTTAACCAACTATTGTCAGCAAGGATTTGCTAACATGAAAAATGACGACAGAGAAAATAGCCTTAATTGAACGCATACTATATGCTAGATACTGCCCTAGGGACTTTACATGCATTGCTCATCTGATCTCTACACCGATCTTATTAGTCTTTTACCTTCATTTGCTTATGAGGGAGCTGAGGTTTATTTAGTATGATTAAATTGCCTATGGTAACCAACCTGTGCAGCCAAGACAGAAGCCCAGATAGCATGATTCTAGAGTTCTCTAACACTCCAGAAAGGCTCTAGAAAGTTGAAGGGATGGAAGACACAGTCCTGTCTTAAAGGGAATTATAGTCTATAATGTATATTTTAAAAACCCAAATATATATATTGGCTAATGGGAGGATTCATGGACCTGAGACTTCAGATCAGATTCTACCACTGAACATGATGTGTGCCCTGAGTGAATCCTTTCCCTTTCAGAGTCTTGGTTTTTCCATGAATAGCAAGAGGAGATGCCAAGGGTTAAATGAGATGAGTGGGGATTGTTAGCACAACTCAGAGGGAGACTGGGCTGGGTGCATGAAAAGTATCTGGAAGAAAAAAGAGTTGGAGCTGGTTCCTAAAGAAGTAATAGAATTTGAATGGGTGGATGGGAAACACATTCCACATAAGAGGAATGCAGGTGAAAAAACTCCAGGGATGGGGAACAGTCTTATATATTTGTGAAGCCATGAGTGTGACAGTTTGATGCACTTGACTTAAAGAGTTGTGAAGAAATAGAGGGAAATGAGACAAGGTACAAACGTATCAGGCATTTATTTGGGAAGGCTATTAATTCATTTTTGTTCAAGCACTATGCCAGGGACATAGGAGTACTGAAGTGGACCAGACATGGCCCTGCCCTTGAGATGCTCACAGTTGAATTCAGGAGGTATGCCTGTTAGAGAAGGAATTGCAAACCAAGACAAAAAGATGATATCGAGGAGAGGTCTCCCTTCCACAGAGGGAGGGACCAAACAACTATACCAGCTTCCTTCAGAGATGATTTTGCACATAGCCACTTGACTTGGGGCATTCATACATTTATGTATTTCTCAAACATCTATTGAAGATCTATTATAGTCCACTTGCTGTAGTAGACATCAGGTATAGACTTAAATAAAATGTGTCTTTGGGCAGAGGGAGATGAATTGAGGTCTTAAGGTGTCAGTGGGAACTGGCTAGCCAGAAAGCAGGGAAAGTGATGTGTGAAGGATATCTCAGGCAAAGGGAAGTCATGTGTAAAGACCCAGAAGGAAAGCCAGGGAAGGCATGTTCAGAAACTTGCAAAGTGGTTCATTGTGACTAGGTGTGAAGTGGGAGCACTGCCAAGAAGGAGGATGAGGATTTGGCAAGAGCCAAATCATGCAGGGGCCTGGATGCCATGCTAAGTAGTTTGGAATTTGTCCCTAAGGGGTACTAAGAGCTGTGGAAAAGGTTGAAAGGTTTTCAGGAGGAGGTGACATGATCAGACTGGTGTTTTTGGAAGATTGATTTGTCTGCAGCGTGGAGGGACTGGGTTGGAGGGGGTGAGACTGGAGGCAGGGAGACTGGTTAGGAGACTAGTTAGTGGTCCAGGTGAGAGGCATTGAGCACTGAACAAAGGCATGAGCAGTGGGTGTGGAAAAAAGAAATGCACATGGGTGGGGAAATGAAAGATGCATAATTGAAAGGATCTAGGACTGGCCTAGATGTAAGAAATAGAGACAGGTTTGAAGAAAGAGGGTGAAACCAAAGGGTACCAATTAGTGAAACTGGCATGACTACTCCTGCCCAGCTAGGAATTGTCTTTTCTGAGCCATTCTTTGTTTAGTCCTTGGAGGGTTCAGTATTCTGTTTAACAAAGAAGGCTAATGGCTTACAGATACCTAGTTTAGAGCTGATTGGCAGGGCCACAGTGATTGACACCCTTGAGTGCCAATGAAAGAACAGCCTGCCAGGCGTAGGCTATCAGCTCTGAGCACCTCTGGAGCTTTCTGTGAGAAGTCACTCAGGCAAGACTCCCCTCCCTCTCCCCCAGCACACACAGGGCGAAAAGTGTCTCACAAAGGTCCATTTATCACAGGAGCACAATATAACAATAACTTACCCACACAGTATCCGCTGCACACAAAGGAGAAGTGGTAGCACACCAGCAATCAGAGGAGACTCTCATTCTCTCACTCTAGATGACATAAGAAATGGGGCTTGGGCAGCAAAAGCATAGGCATCTAATCAGTCCCTGGAGCAGAATAGCCAATGTGAGGAGAGGGACTAGAGTGGTCTGCTGCTCCCCAGAGCTGGTAGGCCCTGCTAGCCTTCTCAGTCCTTCTTATCTACCTTCCCATCCCCCCTAAGCAGAAATATCAAGGTGAGTCACTGCTGAGGTTTCCCACTGCTGGAAAAGGCACCCTCAAAACCAGGAAGTACGGAAGACAACTTGTAGTAGAGGGAGGAGGGGAAGGTTTTCCACAGTGAAACACTGACAATTTAGGAAGAAGAGAAAGTGGAAGCTGTTTAGAGGCCAATGTGGATACCAGGGAACTTTCTGTTAATCTCAGTTCTTTAAAGGTCATGGGCAAATGGTAGGAAGAATGGAATGTAATTAAGGGTGAATTGGAGAATCTGGAAGGAGAGTGCCAGGTGGCTAAAGCACAGCTTGAGCTGAAGCTTGTCATGGTCTCTCTGGGTCTCACTTTCTGTCCACTCCTCCCTCCAGAATTGGAGTAATTTTTCTCATATCTGCAGGCTACATCTGTCCTAAGATGTAGCCTGCAGATATGATTCAGTTATAGTCGCAGAGATATAGGTGGATGTCACTGGAGAGAGTGCTCCATTGATACAAGACAGGATTGAAGTAACCCCAACCTGCCTACTGGAACTCAGAAACAAGCCATCTCTTTGCTGCTTATAGGAGTCTAATCTAAAGTTTCTATTGAATCTCTACCTCATTCCCCACTGCTGATCCTTAGCCTTCTAGGCAGGGTCTCAGAATTTAAGACCCTGCCTGACCATCAGTCCCCTGTCAAAGCCTAGTCTCAGTCATGCTCTTTTAGTTTACTTTCTAGGGAGAGAGTCCTGATCTTGAACCTCAACACTGTGGCTGAAGCCTGGTGGTCTACTGATTAACTCCTCCAGTCCCAACTGCCTACTTGTATTTCTAAACACCCCCTCCTTCTGATTACTAAAGTCATGTTCAGCCTCTAGTTTTCCTGTTATAATCCTATGCCAATTAGGAATTCTTTTGGCCACAAATAAGAGACAACTCTACAACTGTGACTTAAATAGATAGATTTATTTATCTTATTCAACAAAAAACTCATTTGATAGATGGTATAAGACTGGTATAGCAGTTCACCAATGCCATTAAGATCCTGACTTTTCATCTCTACTACTCTTAAGGTAGACTTTCATTCACTTGCCTTTTGCCTCAGGGTCACAAAATAGCTGCCACAGCAGTTCTGGGCTTCAAATCTGTACTCTAGGCAGCAGGAAATGACAGAGCTGGCGAGGGAGTGGGAAGGCTAAGGGCAAAGGACCTCCAAGAAGTTTTTGTCTTTTTATTCACAATGGAGCACTCTTTCCAGTGATATCCACCTATATCTCTGTGACTGAATCATATGGACATTCCTAGCTGCAAAGGAAGCTGGTAAATCCAGTACCTTTGGTGAGTACATTGCACTCTGAACAATGTTGGGATTCTGTAAGTTAAGGACAAAGAGGGAAAATCATTATAGGCATGTAATTAGTAGCATCTGCCATGGACCCAAACCACCAATCGCTTGCCTGGACCATCTTTCCTTTATTACTACCCCCACTACTGGGCTTGGATTGCTGGAATGGACTTTCTCCTAGCAACTGCAGCTGGGTTTGTTCCTCTAGCAAAGGATAGAAGAGACCTGCCTGGTTTAACAACAGCATATTTGAAAAAGACCTTGATTTGATTGTAAAGTCTATGTGAGCCAACAGAGTGATGATGCTGCCAAAAGAGGTAATTAGATTTTAGGCTGCATTAATAGAAGTATAGAACCAGAACAAGAGAAGCAATGGTTCTGCCCTTTTCTACACTTGTCACATCGCACCTGGAG